AAACAGCTGATATTTGATACAGTCTATCTACCACTCGAAGGATCACTTTGCATTTTAGGTCAGCATTTTGATGATAGTAACCATTATCATAACAGTGTTATAATTTGTGCTGACTTTTAATATGATCAGAACCTGATTATATAGAATATGACGATATTTTTCATATACCAACTTGAATTGATTATATCTAGGAACCTGACTTAATTTCAGCAGAATATGATTCTGAGGTCAATAACTATAGGTGCGAATTTCTTAATCTACGTGTAAAACGTAATATATTCAACTAACATGCTGCAAAACGGATACAGTGTTTTATATTTGTATGTTAGGAATTAGGTATAGCTCAATTTCAGAGGGAAGTGGATGTCGATCCGTGTTCCATGTGACCTTTACAAAGCGCATAATATACATTGTTACATGTAATTTGGGAACACACGCTACACGACGACGGCCTTTAAACATTGTAGACATTAGCAATCAGAACATCCAGCTTTCTGGTCTACTATGATGGTTTACTATGTAATCGACATTTTAAACTTCCGGTATTTAAATCAGTTTATTCAGGTTCTGGCCGAATCACGGTATTTAAATCAGTTTATTCAGGTTCTGACCGAATCATTGGTCATATATGCCTTGGCTTCAGCCAATCGGATGGTTACATTTGGACTAAACAGATATTAATATTATATAACATAATAAATCAGTTGCATATTGTAAGTGTTTGTCAAAAACAGTTAAAAGTATATAATTTGGGGGAAACAAAATTTAACCTGTTTATAACAAAAATGACGTTGTACTTAAATATACTATCACTATACACGTATCCGTAATTTCTCCTACCGTTCACATACTCGCTCGCAGCGTGGATAACATAATGTGAATTACTTGATACTAAAATTTAATTTTATTCAGTTTAAACTACAATATGCTAATATAAACATACATTGCAAGTACATAGTGCGTAAGAAATGGTGTATCAAGTTTCTGACAAGAAATTATTATTGTATGAGGGCGTACCCCGAACACATCACATTGTACTACAATATATGTTACTTGAACCCTCAAGTTAAAATCAGAGTCCTACTTTTTCCAGACAGCTAGTAATTTCCTGGTTGTCTGGATTGTGTCGTTACTTCAGTATCTCTTCTAAGTTTGGTGGGTCGATAACTGTTAACGGTTTTCCTGGATACACGAGACAAGCATCTCCGTCATATTTCACGTCTTCTATAATTAGCATCACATTATCAGCAACATGGGAAGGTCTGAAATATAATAAATGTGACTCAAATAATCGCAT